GTGCGGTTTTGTTACTTTGTATTACAATATCTACTCTTCAGGTTTATTTTACAGAATACATCAAAATTCTCAATAAAGAAGGAGAAATTAATGGATATATACAGAATTAATCTGAGTTGTTTTTAAAAAATACCACTAGGTCGATGACCCATCCACGTGGACCATGCCCTTGACATTATCTGACGAATACATCGTCCAGCCAACCACGCAACTTCGACCGTTCGGTCGGTTTCCCAACTTTCGTGGGCTGCCCGTTTACTAGTAACCAATCCACTGCTAATAAAGTGGTCTCTTTGAGTATGCACGTCTCTGCAGAGAAAAAGGCTGAATTACTCCAGAAACTGGACGATTTTTTCAAAAGGAATAAGCACAAGGTAAGAAAATTTTTGTAAAATTAATCATTTAGATTAATTTTTAGTTTTGTACGGAGTTATACCTATCCAAACTTCATTTAATGGCCTTTTCGCGAACAGACCAATAAGTTTTTCATTGGTTGTAAGGTGTTGTGTTAAAAAATCCAGCTACGGCCAAACTTGGGACACCTTGATATTCCCCGAACGGAGATGTGATTTCTTCAGTATTAATGGAGTTATTTATGTCTATATTGCTTTTTTATGCCTTGAAATTATTAGTTCAGGTAACAAATACCGATGCAGAGGTGTTTCGTCGGCTTTATAAACAACTTCTAGAAGAAACACCTCATATCGATTGGAATAGTTGGAAATTCATTTCCGACAATGTCCAAAGAAACTACGATGATCTGCCAAATTTCGATCCTACCAGGTTTGGAACATTTTCTTATCATCACTAGACCATGATGTATAGCTCAAATATTGAAAACTTGTAAAAAAAGTGAAAGTGGTCGAAATGCGCCATACGAGTTCTGTCAGGGTCGAAAACTTTTTTGGGTCTTTTAGGAATGTGCACCTTCAGTTCGTACATTTGATGATGTAAACAAAGTAATTTTGACTTTTGCCTGTGAAAGTCAAGACAACCTCCCGTGGCCTTGTGGGCTAATGGATAAGGCGTCGGACTTCGGATCCGAAGATTGCAGGTTCGAGTCCTGCCAGGGTCGAAAACTTTTCCCAGTTCTGCCATGGATGTGTGACTGTGTAATTTAGTTCGAGTTTAAGTTTTTTTTCCTATAAATTCTGCTTAGTTGGTCTTGCTTAAAGGATTAGGCGAAGCTTCGAATAAACCGCTAGGTTATCACGGTGAAATATACTTTGTGACATGGTCAACTTCTTACAGAACGGATATTTTGGATCGTCTGGTAGTGGTGAAACTCAACGGAGGACTTGGGACGACCATGGGCTGTGCAGGACCAAAGTCATTTATAAAAGTCAAGGAGGGGCTCTCCTTTCTTGACATTGCTCGTCAACAACATGAAGTATGTTTATTTACTTTCTATATTCATTTACAAATTGCCTATGCTTCAGTTTGGCACTTCTTTTTGGGTTATTTTTGTTATTTTTGGGAGCCGATTCTGCAGCTTCTTAGTCCTTTTCATTAGAATGTTATTTATACGGAATCCGCTCATAAATCATAGTGAAATGTAAAGATTTTTTTGAAACTTGAGTAGATTAATTAAAATTTATTTTTTTCGTTTTTTAATTTTTTTGTGATTTTCTGATTTTTTTATCAATCTCTTTTTGGAATGCGTCCCTGCAGCCATCTTATTAGAATCCTGAATATTCAATTCTAGTAGCCACCTATCTATGGTTTTAGATGATTCTATTCCAAGCTGATGGGCCAATTTAAATCCAAATAATTTAGGCATTTAATCAGCTACACAGCAGCTCTGTTCCCCTGTACCTGATGAACTCATTCTACACAGATCAGTTGACAGCCCAAGAACTTGGCTCTGGCAGTGATGTGAAAACGTTCTGCCAGTCGCGTTGTCCACGGATCTACGCTGACACACTTTTACCGGTCGAAGAGGATGGCTCTGATCAAGAGTGAGTGGGGAGAATATCGATATTTGCCGCGGTTCTGCTAGAATCAGAATGTCAATGATGAATTTCAGATGGTATCCACCGGGACACGGCAATATTTTCCAGTCTCTCGAAATGACTGGAGTCCTGGATGAATTGCTCCAGCAAGGTTTGTGTTCTAGAAGTTGTGGATTTCCGTGAAAAGAGAGAGGACCGGTGAATCTATAGAAGTACTCCAATTGGTGCCTCTCCAGATGTACTCCTAAAACCATCCCAGGCGTTTAGTGCAGGAAGTGTGCACCCTCCTTTCAAAACTCTTTTTAAATTACTACTTGTTGCTTCAATTTTTTTTATGATTTTGAGCTTGATTTCTTTCGTATTTTGTTTGTCCTAGCCCCATCGGTGGGGAGTCTATACTGTTATCCATAAAATGCCTACTGTAACTGCCGTAAAAAAGAAGTAAAAACCAAGTAAAATAGCCGATTGATGCTACCTACTAGCTTGACAACCTTCCTACGAAGAGTCCTTCTTTCATCCATGCTCCCTCATCGGATCGCCTCTGATTCCGATCGTTCTCACTGTAATACTTAACCAAGATGGATGGGTCTTTTTAATAGTAACTCGTCCCATACCATTGCATACATGAACTTGTCATTCCTTTTCCAGGTCGTGACATAATGTTTGTATCAAATATTGACAACACTGGTGCTACTCTCGACCTGAAAATCGCTCAATTCGCCTGTGACGAGGCAGCGGAATACATTATGGAATGCACGGCAAAAACTGAAAATGATATCAAGGTTCCCATACTTTGCCTTTCGTTGCTGAATTTTCCGATAATTTCTAATAAAATTGGTTTGCGAACCCATTCAGCGTTGAACTGCTAGAGTTATTGTGTTTCTTGCAGTACAGGAATGCTTCTTTTGTGGGCCTCCCATGTGTCGCCCCGATATGCACCCACGATGAGCTACAGTTCGAAGAGATTGAGGGTCACTGAAAATCAAACTCAGTGCCGAATTATCTGACCTCCTAGAATGGGCATGTTCCTCGAATGCGGCTGTGTGAGCTACTTATGAAGGGTAAATATTAGAATGGGACGATGGGAATGGGGTGGATAAGAAGGTGAGTCCTGAAAGATTTGGCAATCCCTGCTTTACACATTGATCTGGGAAGCGAGGCTCTCGGTTTCCGACCGAGTTGTAAGAGCTCAAGTGAACAATGGCTTGAGTGTGACTGGGGCAAAGACGTTAGTTCTCTAGGAAGAGGCTAATTGCAAGAGTATAACTCAAGAGGCCGATGAAGCTCAGCCTTCCACGCAGCCGTAAATATGCTCTGAGGAGCTCCATACACAGGAGTGGATCTTTTGCAAAAAGCCACCAAGCATGTGCTCATTGATGTTTTCAGGGAGGCACGCTCATTGACATCGGTGGACAGCTAATGCACTTAGAAATCCCACAAGTACCTCCGGAACACCTCGACGAATTCTGTTCAACGCGTACTTTCAAGTAGGTCCTTTTTACGGAATTGGAATGAAACCAACGTTGGAAACGGGTAATTGATGGAATTTTTACTTTAACGTGGGACAATTGAACAAACAGATAAACAAATAAATAAACAATCACTATAGTGGATGTGCAGCTAGAATTTCAGAATTTTCAACACGAATAACATATGGGTGAATCTGCGAGCTGTAAAGGAACGACTAGACAGCATTTCAAGCGAAATTATAGTCAATAAGAAGGTCAATACTTTTTCATGAAAGTTATTTTGCATACTTTATTTGGCCATAAAGACTGCCGAAAAGGGCAGTGATTTTAGGTTTTGCACGGCCGACCCGTAATACAGTTGGAAACATCCATTGGTGGTTGTATAAGGAATTTTCCACGAGCGTATTGTGAGTTTTCGGAGATGGGGAGGGGCGAAGAAGTCGACTGCAGGGGGGNGGGGGGAGGGGGCAGGGGAAGAGAAGGGAGTAGATGAATCAAAGCAGAAAAACAAGTAGCTACTTTAAGGTGTACACGTGGACAGGTGCAGATTCCTACCGGTGAAGAAAGTCGATGATCTCCTGGCCATCTCTTCCGACTTGTACACCCTGAACAATGCCCGTGCATTGCAACTTTCCCGGAGCCGTCCTGCACCAACAGTGGAATTGGGAAGCTTCTTCCAACGGGTGAGTTTATATTTTACCTCATCATAATTGATCGTCGTAAATACTAAAATGACCGATTTAGGTAGACGAGTTCAATAGTCGTTTCGACGAATACCCTGACATGCGAGACCTCGATTCGTTGAAGATCGAGGGTGACGTACGATTCGAGAGGGGTGTTGTTTTTAAGGTGAATTTTCTAAAAAACACCAAGAGGGTAATAAGATTAGTTCTCTGATAATGCCAATAGAATCAACCACTTCAGAGAGGTATTTCGATTGTATACCTCCCAGAAAATCGAATGAACAGGGTTTTATATATGGTTTTTATGGCACTGCGGCCTTCTAGAAACGATAATACTCTTCAACTGTTTGTTTTCCCTTAGTCCATCATGAGAGCCTATTACTTCGGGATATCTATCTCATTCTTTCCGAATTTTCTCATATTCAGGGAAAAGTCACCATCGTGAATAGGACATCCAAGCAACAAGTGATCTCATCTGGGACTGTAATAGAAAATGAGCGACTTGTTTTTGAATAAAGATAACAATGTTTCACGTTCATGACCTCCATACCAAAAAAATTACTTTGTTAACATTATCAGACATATGACATGAAATCTTACATCTGCAGAAGAACCAAAAAGTTTCGACCCTGGCAGGACTCGAACCTGCAAT